ATGGAGGGGGGCGAGTATATGATTCATCTACAGATGGGTATTTTGTGATATTTCAGCTAAATTCAGCTCCAGGGTATGATAGTATTTTTCAAAAAATGTCATAACTGCACCACTTACTCTATCTTGATTTCAGACTATTGTAACCTCTTTACCTAAAAAAAAAAAAAAAAAAAAAAAAAAAGATAGAAGTAAGAGCCATACACAAATAAAAGAGTTAGAAATCGCTGTGCTTATTAGAGATGTATGAATACTAATATTGGTGCACATGGTATGTGCACATGAAGCAGGCTCCTAATCCTCTTTGTACTAAAATGTGTTTCACAGTGAAATTTCCCCTTTCATTTCCAATGCCACTGATAACATCTCGATCAGTTTTCACTGTAACTTTCCAAAGTGCAAACTCAGGTGGCCTGCCTGCAGACATACCACCGATTCTTCATGTCAAGCCTTTCCTTTCTGTGCACATCCTCCCTCTGGAGCACCTCTACTTTCTGCTGCTCTGTAGCCCAAATTTAAGGCTATGTCAGTCCTCGCTTATGACTAAAATGTGGGATGCCAGTTATTTATTTATGTAAAGTGTTTGGAGGGTTTAACTCAAGAGCACCATAGAAACTGGGCTGGTATTGTAATCGGGGCTTTTATTCAGGTTGTCTGATGCGCTGCGGATGCTGCCTGCCTTTGTGTGCTCCAGCCCCATGTTTATCCCGACGCTGCCTTTGTGTTCCCTATTTGACATATTTTACTGTAAATAAAGAGAGACACTGTCTTGCAGCTGTATCCACTGTGACATTTGACTCTCTGCTGAATGATTGCATTGTGCTGTGTGCTTTGAAAACATTATCTCTTTTAAGAAATAATCTAGTCCTTTAATAGTTTCCCGCATGTGCCTGTATTCCTTTGCACATCCAGAGAGCTCAGGTGCTCACCCACCTCTGTCAAAACAGCCAGAGCAGCTCCTGCCGTGCTGAGGGCTGGGGAGGGTACAAGTGCCTTGGATACCAGGTCTTGGCAGTGCTCAGTTCCCATTTTGCCTGGTCTTTTTAGCTGTACCGTCTGATCAGATTGTGCAGTATGGCTTTTTCTGGGGCATGAGCCTTTTGCCACATTTCTGAGATAATATGTAGCATCTCTTAATTAGGTCTATTCATATATTCTTTATTATAGGTTGACTCTTACTGGCTGCTATACAATTATGGTGATCTTCCCTCTGCTCCCTTGTAATGGGTGATCACCCTCTCAGTCTTTTTGTGTGTTGGAATACTCGTCTTTTTGACTTCAGAAAGTTTAAATCCTTACTGAGGCTGTTTTTCTCAAAGCAGGACTGATTCATTGCGTGCTTAACTCCTATAGTCCTTGTTTAACATCCCTTTTATGAAGTTTTTATTTTTGCCTTTACACAACTGTGTCATTTTTAATTGCAAACTGATTCAGAAACTCTTTCAAAATAATTCTCTGTATTTAGAAATGTATAGGCAGTTGCTCTAAGTATCGAATGCAAATAAATCTATAACTGTAGAGAGGCTGGTAGTCCCGCCTGCATTTTCCAGAGAAAGGCCAATCAGTTTCCTATAAGGCTGCCAGGGTGGGACTATCTCAGATGTCACTATTGTTATGCATAGCATCTTCCTGAAAGTCATCAAACTTTAAAAATTATGTTCACTGTGCATGCACGTGGCAGAAGAGAGAAAAGCAAAATGAAATCAACATCTTGAGTTAGCTGTCGTGAAAAGCAAGTGCATCAGTTTCCCCAGAAAAGGAGCGCAGTGAAACCAGCCTGGTGTCTTTGAGGAGAAGCATGGCAGTGAGTGGAGGGGCAGCGACCACCGTGTCCCTGCAGATCAGGGCTCGGTGCCTCCGTGGCAGCCTCGTGGGGCTTGGATGGCGAATCCGATGGAGGAGGTGGCGGATGCCTCCACCAGCAAATCCTGTTTTCAGACAAGCCATGCTGAGCTCGGGGGGCTCCTCTGCATCTCAGGACTAGCTCCCTCTCACCAGCAGCTGCGTTGTGTATAGTATAGGATCTGTGTCATGCATAATATAGAACAATGACATTCCCAAAAGGGGTTACAAGCAGAGAATCCGGCATCCAAATTGTCCCAGCGACCTGATGAGACATGGACGTCATTCGGAGCTGCAGGAGGGCTCTTGGTTCTCTCCCGGAGAGAACAGCTCTGCACTCTGGCAGTCTCGGCTTTGTGCTTTTATTAAAATTCCCCAGAATAAAAAGAAAAAGCATCTGTGAGGGAACAAGATTGATAAGAGATTCAAAATATATTTTTATTGCATTCTTAAATTACCATAATTAAATTAAATTATTAAATGTATTTTTATTAAATTAGCACACAGGCTGGTGTCACTTGCTTTAAATATTTTAATAAAGCCTGTGAAGTCTTCCCTTGTTATTAGTGCTCTTGGAATGTATCTATTTTAATGACAATATGAGTTTAAGTTCTGGTGTTGGGAAGAGACTCTGGATGGGTGAACTCTGCATTTCTCTGGGGGGCCCAGCAGGGTTATGGGGTTTTCTTTGCTCAGGAGTGACTGTGGGAACCACAAAACTCCATGTACATATATCTGGAGGAGATGCACAAATGATGTGTTGTGACAATAGAGCAGCAAAGCGTTTAGGCACATGTTGGAAAACTCTGTGGAGCAGAGATGTACTTACAGAGCAGGGCCTGGAGGAAATCTGTGTATTGCTGGGTTTGAAGATAATAGAGAGGGATGAATTAATAATTATATATGTGTGTGCTACATTTAAAGACAGATAATTTTTTTTCTGTCAAACCTACCTTCCCGCTTTCTTTATCACTGGCTATACACTGGGTATTTCTCAACAGATGCCACCATGGAAGGTGCTGGTTTTAAGGGTGTTGCTGCTTTTGCAACAGCTGTAGAAGTTGAACTACTTTCATGGGAGGGGCTGGGGATGCTCAGACCAGGGCTCCTCACCTTGCTCTGAACAGGGTAGGGCCTTGCAAATAATCTTCTCACTGGCTGTCTGATAACAGAAAAGGTAAAAAAAAAAATTAACATGAAAATTTATAGATTTCCTGATGAATTAAAAAAAATGGGGAAAAGTTGGTTCATTTTAATTGTGTAATTTAAAGTTATTTTAAAAAAATGTAGAAAATGTGGGAACACAGGGTTGGATGGCAAAGGGGCTTGGGGTGGCAATGGGGCTTGGGAATTACTTGCCAAGTGGAATGTGTAAAACTAAGATTGAAATCCCCTCTTTGCTTGATTGCATGGGGATTTGAATTTGGGTCTCTGAACTCCTCTGAGAGTGCCCAACCGCCAGCACATTCTGGGATGAGAATCTGTCCTGCTGAAGCTGTTCTGCTTTGTAAGAATAATTAAATATTCATTGGGCCAGTGAGAGAACAGAAACAAGTTGATAGCCTGGGGATTAAGCCTCTCCAATAAGACAAGGATACAGAAGTAATTCAGTTCCTGATCCAACTCTGATGCTGAATGGGTATGAATCTAGGGTCATGCTGACCAAATTTACCAGGATCCTGTGTTTTTCACCATATATGTATCACAACATTTTTTTCTCTCCTTGTCAGCTTCCCTGATTTCTTTACAGAAACTGCTACCACATTGGTTTTTATTGTGGTGAATCTGTGTCAACTAGAGTTACCCCCATTTTTATTGGAATCAGAACTGGGGCCATGGGCTCTTTAGCAATCCATCCTTGTTCCAGGATGCTTTTTTGAACTCCCAATTTGCTACTTAGTGCAGTGGGAGGGGAGGAATTATACCTTGATTATAAGGGCATTACAGGAAACATTTTTTACTGTATGTCCAGTCTGTGGTGGTAATCTGGAATCACACAGTAGGAGGGAACTGTAATGTTATTAATGTTATTAATATGACATTAATAAACCTCATAGTTTCTGTCAAACCTTAAGAACACAGAAAATCAGCACTGAACACCTATTCATATGTGATGCTGCACTAAGGGAAATTTTTACAGTTCTATACTGAACTCACCTGATAAAATGACAAACTCATTCCTGAGTTGCTTGAGTTACTTTTTGTGTGGGGAAAAAAGAAAAAAAAAGAAGATATTTTCCAGATGGAGCTCACTAGCAAGAAAGCAGCGCCTATACCCAGCCCCCTGCACCCCCGATTGATGCGAGCCCGCAGGCTGGGCAGAGCTGCATCTTCTCCACTGCCCTGGGGCCTGGCTTCAGCACCTTCCTCTGACTCGGCTACTTTCATAGGATCTTAGCAAAACCCATTCCTTCCAGTCAGGACACCTTCTCTTTTGATGTCCAGATATATGACTGGGCTCTCGTGACGGCCCATCATGTGCCGGGCTGAGGATGCTTGGAAAGACAATTCCTAAGCGCTGCTTGGGGCACAGTAAATGAAGTGCTGGATGCACCGTGTTCTTACACAGCAGTAAAGGCTCCGTGAAACGAACAAACCCTGTCTAAATGGGAGAGGAAACTGATGGAGTGTTTCTCTTGAGTAATTTCATTCATAACTTGGCACCAAGTGCTCCGTGAGATGACAAGTTCAGATTTTTCTAGAAGCTGCCTTCCCAGTGGGCAACTCCAGGCAACTCCTGCTAAATGTAACACCTTGGGAGAGGCAGAGTAAAGTAACTCTCCCTCCCAGCTCTGCACAAACAGGGAGCGGAGGGGTGTGTGTGTGTATGTGTGTGTGCGTGTGTTAAAAACCGCCCGCGCCTTTCCCCGCGGCCGCTGAGCCCTTGGCTCGGGGGGGATTTCAGTGCCCCCGCCCCGGTGCAGATCACGGGCGGCGCGGCCCGGCCCGTGTGCGCGGGGGCTGCGCTCTGCGGGCCGGGCCGCGGACTCAGCGCCTGGGGGGGAGGGGGGGCGGCGGCTCCGCGCGGCCGCGAGTCCGGTCCGCGGCGGCGGTCCGCGTTTTGCGGGCGGCCGCTGTATTTCCCGGGCCGTCCATGGCTCGGTGCTGTTGGCTCTCTCTCCGTCTGATCGGCGCAGGCTGCGCGGGGCTCCCTACGGGATCAGAGCGCTCCCCCGCCGGGACTCCACTCCTCACATCCTCCTGCTGGGACTCAGCTACATTTCCAGCCAAGCCTGGCTTTATTATGTGTGTCTGCACTGCAGCCCCAGCAGCAAGATCAGGAGGAGGAAAAGGAGCCAGGACAAAGAAAAGAGAGGGAGGCTGGCGAGAGCTAAAGAAAATAAAAACCCAGGGCAGCAGCGGCAGCAGCGGCAGCAATGAAGGCAGGAGCGGTGCCACCTTCCAGCGAATAACCCATGGAGGCAGCTAGCGGCCCCGGCATCGATGCAAAGAAGCACTTACCTTGTTCCGCGAAGTGCGTGCGTGCAGGGGAAGGCGGCGGCGAGCGCGGCCGGCCGCGGGGAGCCCACCCGCCCGCCCGCCCAGTACGGCCGGCCGCGCCGCGCCGGGGACACGGGGCGGCCGCCCCTCGGCCCCCGCCGCCAGCATAAAAAAGGACTCGTCGCCCTCCCCGGTCAGCAGCGGGGGCGAGGAAGGGAGAGGCAGCCGGGGGCGAGCGGGCAGAGAGGGAGGGAGGGGGCCGAGCGCGGCCGAGGGAGGATTTAGGAAAATCGCAACAAGGTCGCACCCCCGGAGCGCCCCGGATTGTCGGGGCCGGAGCTCCTCGTGGGTTTAGACACGGAGTTCTCGCCGCGCTCCCTCCCCCACCCCGTAGCCAGGGACCCCGCACAGGGCTCTGCTGCTTTTTTTTTCTTTTTTTTTCTTTTCTCCTTTAAAAAAATTTTATTATTCCGAAAGTGCGAGCCGGACTGAGCCGCAGGGCGCCTGCAAACTTTAAAGAGAACAAAAAGGCGGGTGGGGGCGCGGGCCGGGCTCGCTTTGCGTCGGTAGAATTTGCACATCCAAGGGGGGGGGAGGGAAGGAAGGAACAAAAAAAAAACAAAACAAAAACAAAAACCAAAAACCCAAAAAAAAAAAAAAAACAAAAAAAAAACCCAAAAACCCAAAAAAAAAAAAAAAACAAAAAAAAAACCCAAAAACCCAAAAAAAAAAAAAAAACAAAAAAAAAACCCAAAAACCCAAAAAAAAAAAAAAAACAAAAAAAAAACCCAAAAACCCAAAAAAAAAAAAAAAACAAACAAGAAGAAAAAAAATATTGCAACTGTTGCGCCCGCGTTTTTTCTTCTTTTTTCTTTCTTTCTTTTTTTTTTTTTTTAATTTTTTTTTTTCCCCGGGGAAGGTGCCCGAGGGGGTGGAAAGAGGAGTTGAACTTGCCGCATTGCAACAGGCGAAAGAAGTGAGAAAATCAAATAATCGATCCCGCTGCTGCCGCTTCGCCTCGCAAAGTTTGGAGGTGCGGGGGGCGGGGGGGCGAGAGAGAAGGCAGGGAGAGGAAGAGAAGGAAGGGACAGGAGGAAGACGAGGAGGAGGAGGACGAGCCACGGCGCCCGGACATGTCCAGGAGGAAGCAAGCCAAGCCCCGCTCGGTGAAAGGTAAGGCATCCTCCGTCGGCCGCCGCCGCCGCCCGGCCCCGGGCAGCCGCCTCCGCCGCCGCGACGCGGCCAATCAGGGCCGGGGCCCGGCTTGGCGGGGATTGCGAATCCCCCCCCGGTACGGGCTGGTGGTGGCGGAGACCCCCCCGGAACCGACGGCGTGTCCCTACGCAGGGCATCCGCCCGCCCGCCGTCCGTTCCGGGGTTGTGTGGGTACCGCGGTGCCGGCCGAGAGCGGCCGGCGACACGTGTCGCGATAATTGATGAAAGAAGCCGGTGGCATCGTTGAGGCGGGGAGGGAGGAAAGTTTCGCGGTGATGCTCGGGTGCGGTGGCGCTTCGGCGGGCAGAGGAAGGGAGGAATGAGCTCACTCGTGTTTTAGCCAGTTAGCCCGAAATTAATGTTCCTTTATGATTGGGAATAGTAGCGCCGTCTGTTTGCTCCTTCTGTCCAATGCGCGTAAGGGTGGTGAAAGAAGGGGAGAATTAAACCCGATTTGATAGGTAGGGGTTAAGAATTTGCTTGGGCTTGAAGAAACAATGGCCAAATTTAGTAACGGCTTTATGAGTAAAGGTTAGACATTAAACTATGCATATTTTTCTCCATGCCCTGCGAAGCGGTGTTTTAAATCTCCTGTTTACCTCCGTAAGAAAACAGCTGCTGGAGAAACGTAAAGGGAGGGCCGGGACCAGCCCCGCGCCGTAGTGCACGCATTGCTAGCTTTTTGACTTTTAAGTGAATGGGTACGAGAGAGAAAGCGTGATTCCCGAAGCCTTTCGCTCCCAGCCACGAGGAGGTTAGCTGATGTAGGGGAAGGTTTTATTGTCCTCTGTACAAAGCAGAAGTCGCAAACTCAGTGGACTGGTGGCTTTGTTGTAGAAGCACAAAAGGATCAGAACTTTGGACGCCAAGAAGATGAAATAAAAAGTCCAAAGATTTTGTAATTAAATAACTCGTAAGTGAACAAAATTAGTGTGCAGTTAATCGACCCGCTAAAGAACAAATTGAAACCCCATCCAGGGCCATTTAATATTATTTGTGAAATATCCATTCTTTAATAGATGATTGCAGTGTAAGTTGTATGTGCTTCAGATGTTTGTCAAGTTTTTGTAAAGTCGGTCCTTCATCTTCGTACAAGCCCCTTAATAATTTTTCCCCGAACTAAGAGCACCTTTTAGCATTGTGCTGTGGGGCAGGTTTGCAGCGTGGCATTGTGACCCTCCGCAATCCTGGACAATCTGCTAAAGGAGCTGCTTCAGTAATTGGCAGACGAATGTTACAGTCTCTGGGCAGAAGAAAGGGCAGAGATAGAACTATTTCTAGGGGATGCTCTGAAATACATTGTTTGAAACTAAAAGAATCGCAGTTTGAGAACAGTGGAGCAGGCCTTGGGTCATGACTTCTCTCAGATGAGGGGATTAATTTAGTGGCCAGGCCTCTGGAGTTTAAAATATTTTCCTGTGCTAAAGTGTCACATTTAACATTCAGGAAATAGTTCTGTGCCAGTGCAAACAGTGTTTACTTTAGAAGCCCAGTTAGTAAACCTTGACATCTTGTGACATACAATATTAGATATTTGCCATTAATTACTCTTTTGTTTTCTTCTTCATTACTTTTAGGCTTCAATAGCTCTTGCAAGTGGTTGATACTTTATAATGAAATTTTGACTCTAATTCTGATACAGAACTGATCACTATTTATATGATCACTTTTTATGAATTAAAGTAGGTAGCTTACTGGCAAGTCATAGCTGAGAAACATTATCCCTGTAATGCAGAAAAATCTAGAAGGTCTTTGCAAGAGTGAGCTGGGTGAAGCTCAGTTTTTAAAGATTATAAATATTTCTGAGATCTCTAGGCACAAAATAATGTTTCCAGCTTCAGCAAAAACTGGATGTAAATTACAGTCTTAGTTTGAGCTGCCTAACGGGGAGTCTAAGAATGAGCTGAATCTGGGTGAAATTTTGGATAATAGGAGGCAGCTCATATGTGCATGTAGGTTAAAGAAATTCTTCATTTCTTTCTATTCACCCATATCTTCTGCTTGTAAAAAGTCCGTTGTATACATTTTGTGGTCTAGGGAGCTGGCAACCCAGTAGATTGCCACAGTACACGTTTCCATGGAAATAATTGAGATGTAATAAATAAAGGCACTCTGAGGTCATAGGTTTCCCAATTCAACTGAGAAGAAAACAAGCATAAATTACGTGGATATATGTGTGGCATTTAGGACTTAAAATAATTTAACATTTTTCTCTTTTCCATCTTTTATTTCACTTTGTATAGTAGCTTTGCTATTTATTAACCACTACAAGATTTGTGTATCCTTTTTCATTCAGAAAGATTATGCACTAAAATAGGATCAGTCTGTGCCTGTGATGAAAGGGATTATTCTGCATGCGAAAAGCAAGTTGCCTGCTCTTTAAGTGGGAGCAATGCTGACTTTAAAGAAGTGATTGACTTTGACAGAAGTATCGAATGTTGACAAGTCTTAGATACGCGTTATGGCAAATGAAGTGATAGCAAACCCAAAGTGGATGCCAGCACAGCTGCAGGTCAGGTGGCCCCTGTGCTGTATTATGAGGTCTCAGGTTCAGCCTGGCAGAAACTTAGAGTAATTCCTGCAGCTGTAACTCCAGCAGTAGCCCTGGGCTTCCCCCTGACACGGGATTTATGATTTGCAATACAATTCACTGATTTGTTTTGACCATTAGTTTGTGCAAACTTGAAGATACTAACCTTATAGCTGGTGGTTGGAGACAATGTTGGCTTAAAGGAAGGTGGTTTCACACCAGTGAGAATGGAATGAAAGTGTGAGTATTGAGTCTCTGCTAGTTTACAATATAAACACTTAGGGGACAGTGTGGTGGTAGCAGTGATGGAGTGAAATACTTTCTGAAGCTTTACTTCACATCACAGATGAAGCCCATGAAAGTAATTTTCCTCAGCACAGACTCTTGCCCTGTTGCCAGTAACCTCAACTGCTGAGAGCTTTTTCAGTTCTCTGTAAGGAAGAGTTATACCTTACTCGGTGTTGTTAAAACCACGTGGACCTGAACCCCAGAACATAACACAGCTGTCAATGTCATAGCACTCTGTCTTGTCCCCCATTACAGCTGATGGGCACTGATATTAGCATCGGTGTCCTTAAAAGTTTGTTTGGTGCTGGCTGCTGCAGGGAGTGGGGGGCACCCAGTCCACTGAGGGGGCTGAGGAGGGCAGATCTTCCTTCTTCCCCTTGGTCAAAATGCAGCTTCTCGTGCTTGGAGGTGGTTCTGGATGCGCCGTGCTGACGTGCGGGTAACAGCAGCCCGTGGATTGCCAGTCCCACGTAATGGTAATTGAGGCAGTACTGGACTGCTCTTTGTGGGACTGGGCTCGCACTGGCACAAGGTTTTAAGCATCAGATGCACTTTGGCTGCTGAATTTGACAGTTCTGCAAATTGCTGTCAGCTTGAGGGGGTATTTTGTGCATAAACGTGCTAGTTGGTAATCAAAATGTTTTGCAAAAGAATGCACTAATTAACTCTAGATTTGTTATCCTACTTGAAGTTGCAGAATTGCTGTCATATTTTTTTGCTTTCTGTTGGCAAAAAATGCTGATAGAAACTTTTGATTCACACCCTACCTGCCTCATTTGTGTCAGTCAAGAAGAGAAAAGGGGGGTTGCTCATTACTTCGTTATCTGCAAAGTAAATAAAAATACTTCAACCATTTGCTGAGTTCCAATTAGTTGATTGCTATGAATGATCTTCTTTAAAGGAATGCTGTTTTACCTATCTGCTCATACAAAGGTTTGATTTTGAATGTCTTGTGAAAAGGATTCTCTTTGTCTTGATTGATGTCAAGAATAAAAGCATGATGGTAATATCCCTTTGAAAGCTATTGTATTGTCAGCTCTGGCTGACAGCAGGAGGCCCTCCTAGTGCTATAGATTAGCGCTGTGAAAACACTGACATTTTCTTTGTTATATTGCTGTTGTTCTGCTTGCAAAGTCAATTATACAATGTTGGAGCTCAGTTACAGAGTTGACTGTGGAAGTAACAATGTCTTTCATACTTGTCTTAAAGATATAATTTTCCTTTTTTCCCAGTTGATAAAGAAGAACCTGAAGGTACTGGAACAGTACATTCTACAAATTAAATTTTGACAAGTATAATCATAATTGCCAAATACAAGAGACTTGTGCGATTATCCTTTAATTTTACAGTTCATTCAAGTTTCGGTGGAATTTTATTGATACAGTGAAAGCAGCAGCTAAAATTGATAAAACTCATATCAAATAAGATTACGCTCTTGATTGTTCTTTATCAAGTGTAGCTTTTGGGGGATTAGGAATAATTGGAGATGTTGGTGTTTCATTGTGGGGCTGGTGCCCTGAGAGTGTTTGAATCCATGCAGTATTCCGAGCACTGCCTTCAGGGATTAGCCTGCAGTTTTTAATTTTTGCCTGTGTATTTTGCTACAAGCCTAGCAGCGTTCTCCTCTGAACTCCACAAGTCACTTTTTCCTGCCTTTCTCTCCCTCTGGTATGCTCTCCTGGATGGGATCTGGGTGGTATTTAACTGGTTTTACTGATTGAAACTCCTGCCTGTGTGCAAATACCTTTTAATTGCAGCCTGTTCCCATTGGTCTCAGTGAATATAATGAATAAACATGGCCAAAAAATTGAAAAAAACATTTAAATAAAAATTGGAAGAAAATAGAAATCTCATATTTTTAGTGATGCTATGTCTAAAGCCATTGCAGAAGAACAACTACCATTGTACAGCTCTTGAAGAATTCTTCCTATGTTTTTCTTTAAAAATATTTGTGTACAATCAGTGCAAGTTAAAGAACATCATTCACTGCTGAATTGCTTCAGATGACACATGCAAAAAAAAAAATCAGAGACGTCTTGTAGGATGTTAATTGTAGGATTTTTAAATTACTGTTATAAACTAATAGAGTAACAAAAGATTCTACAGTTACCAGTAATTTGTCAGGATTTATTTTGTTTTT